GAGAGGAGGAGGGTCATGGAAGAATGGGCGAGAAGTATGGCCATGTCGCCTGTTGCGAGATACTCTAAGGGCTGCAATTCACCTTCACCTTGATCCATCTGATAGCTGATAATTCAATGTGATAGTCAACAGAAGGTATGATTCTTGCCTATGTTGTTGTCGCGATAGAATTTACTGTCAAGGGATGAAGGGAGTATACATGAAAATGGGATTCCAACCACGAACAGTCAAGGAAGTGCTTACATTTGATATGAAAGCTGCTTGAACCGCGGCCAAGGTACTTAAGTGGCGGAAGTTTGGACCGCAGAATTATCCGATGCGTTGGCCAAAACTGATACCTCAACATCATCATTGCCTGTCTGAACAGATGACGACCTCCCTCATTTCCTCATTTGTCAATATCACAAGTTTATCTGTACAATAAACAATGACCGAAGTACCGGCTAGCACCTGCCAGACCTTCTTCGATGTGCGGTATTAAATGGCTGGCTGAAGTTCAGCATGACGAGAAATACAGGAACAACGCGTGTCAATAATATAATATCATAGCGATACTGCTGGCTATTAACAGCATTGGTGAAAGGGTGGCTTTTATATCATGCAGATGCAGCAACTGCTGTCCATGAATGTCAGGACAGGTGAGCCACAACAGGCACTATCAGGAGGAATTAGTAGGAAATGTTTTTGAGTGTGTTTGTAAATGCAGAGGTTGCATTAACGGCCGGTACCGCGAACAGCATGAACAGTATGATTGCGAATACCAACTCTGAAGATTGAGCTATCAATTGTTCACTTTTTTCGATGTGTCTGTTCCGGTTCCGTTCTTCGGCCGGTAGATAGATTCCATTCGACGAGGCGAGCTTTTTTGTTAGAGCTGATTTCGCAGCGAATGATAAAGGGAATTAGGGGACAGTCGAAAGGCATACGTCTTGTATCGGACAATGCTAAATTTACTATAGGACCCACGATATTTCGCGGGTATACGGTTCGCTAAACTGTTGTGGCATTTGCATTGACTGAACTGATGAGCTGCTTTATAAGGCCATGTTCATCACTGCTATTCATAAAATGTGAGTCTTAAAAACAGCCTATGTTTGTCCAGAGGACAGTAAATATTATTTGGCTCGCACATTGGCATTGAAATAAATATAATATTAGGACATTTGCAAACATCTTTTGCTTATATCTGAAACTGGCGAATTTACTATTGCCTTATACGCACAGAATCGGAAAAGAATTGATTGGCATATTGTGTGTTATCAAGACAACGATTTCCAGATGGCACCTACGGAATGCGAGCATCGATTAAATCGCTCCCATGCATGCCAATGCTACGCTGTGAAATATATCATTCGATTCTTCATAAGCATCAGCCCCTCTGATCCTATGCTACGTGAAGTCCCTCCAAAACGTTGCCGCAAACTTCTCTTTGTTGTGACTTGTATCCATCTTGATTCAGCGAACTTTTTCATCTCATCCTGCCGTCGATTTGGAGGTCTGCGTACGAACTGTTTTCCCTCTCTTGGAACTCAGTCTAATGATTTCTCATCTGGCAATGGTCAGTTCTTTTTGCAACCTGTCGTGTTGATTGCCATTTTAACTTCTTCACCCAGTTAATGACATTGCAGACCCTTGTTTGTGCTTTTATCCATTCATCCTTTTTCTGATCCTTTCCTATTATACCTCACGTGCATCTTTTCATGATAAGTAGCGTAGTATGCAGCTTATAAATAGCTCTCAGGCTTAGGGTCTGCATTTCTGGGAACATGCACCAATGGAAAAAATTTCAATTCAAGCACAAAAGCAGTTTCCCGACTAGGTGCATTTTCATTGTTGACACCAGAGGCGCGGAACTACGTGTATATTATACATTATACGCATATATTGTACATTCATTATACATTTATTATACATTGCGATTTATTATACATCATGCGAATCTTTTTCACTTTTATTTTCAGTCGTAGTTTGACGCTGACTGGTTCAACTGTTCGATTCTTTGTCAGAAGTTTTTTGATGACCTTGAAAGGATCCGAATATCGTCCACAAACAGCAGGAGGTTAATTGATGCCCATTTGTGATAAACCCTTGACTTTATTAGTGGAGTGTTTTGAAAACCTTTTCTATTGCTGCTATGAATAATTTAGGTGATATTGCATCATCCTGTCGAAAGCCAAGGTGGTGACATCAAAGGAAGGATCTCTGAAGAAACAAAGATTCACAAAGAAGCGAAGGAAGATGAAGAGCGATGAGACCGATACGTGGGAGTTCATTAGGCGGAAGCTAAACAGTGAGTTCGAGACCTCGCGATGGCAAAAATTATAGAAGCAGCCGAAGACTACAGAAGCCCCAAACAATAGAAGAGAGAATTTGCGCTTTATCAGTCGATCATCACGGCGTTAAAGAACGAAGATGACCCACTAACGTCTGACAGAGCTGAGATTCAGTTTATCAGTGATAACCTTTGCACCCACCTCTTTGAGTCAAAGATGCGCTTCGTGCATCATCACTCAAACAGTCAGAACTTGACCGCAGTTGCTTAGTCGGTAGGGCTTTGAACTCAGAACCGATCGGTCCTGAGTTTAAGCCCTGGTCGGGGTCACTTGCCCTTCTTCCATCTGAGGTTGATAGGGAAGGAAACAGGACACTACAAGCTACGGTTGTCACATGACTTTAAACTCTGTCTTATAAATAAGCAAGGCACTTATGGCTGATATGATAGAAACGAAAATCAGCAGGGCATCATCAACGTCATGAAAAGAAGAACGCCAAAATTGCTAAGTGATGATAGTGAAGGAAGTCCGACGTTCAAACGCTGATCAACGTTTCTTCCATTGCAACAGTCAGAAGGAAGTGCACTCCCGCTCTTCACAAATGAAATGTTGTATGCCGCACAGCAGATGAAGTAAGGAAGTGTCCAACGGAGAGACTGTTCGGATAATTTAAAAAATTAAAACAGATAGTCAAACGCTGTAGATGAGTCTGGCGAAGAGGCTCAACTCCTACCTGGAAACGGCAAAGATACGATCAAGCTGTGGGACTAGTCAAGAACAGTTTTGGATTCTTGATTCGCCAGTGTAACGCCTATTTCACTTCATTCAATGGCATATCTATCTTGAAAAGCCAATAGGTGGTATGTTCATCAAGATACATGTACTTTCGTCATCGTCGTCTGACGTGAGCAGAGCTTAAACAGCAGAATACCGCAGGTTTATGACGTCTGACCATTAGAAGTTGTACCTCAGGTTACTGTTATGCAAAGCAGGCTGTGGAAGATAGGTGGTTGATCGATAACTTGCCTCAAACCAGTTAGTTAGAGTAATCGATGGAATTCGCCATTGTTTCACGCTGATCAATGGTTAATAGCAGCCTGGATTGCAACGGTAATTCCGATTGCGAGTCGACGATGTAAGAAGGGCTGGTGAAGACCAGATTCGACTGGTCTGTTTAACCGGCGAACGCTGTGCTGTCGAAACAAAATCCTCCGTCACAACGAGAATGCGTGAAGTGTAGGACCGCTTTTCAGAAAAAGTACAGCACTTCACTGAGCGGTGTCCATTGCAAACGACCAACCACTTGTAGCCGTCGACAGTCATTCGGTTTTTATAGGATTTACCAATGTCACCTGACCAGCTGATCCACCGGATTGACTGCAGGCACGCGTCGGCGTGTTTATCTCCACTACTCAGATGAACAACAGTCGCGACGCGACGCGCTGGACCGTTTCACACAATATGGGTCACCCACCGTAGCCATCGCTTCCGTCATTGGTGGACGTACGATTCGAGTGTGAACGTTGTGCACAAGCGAGGAGGAACTCTTACGACGGAGCTGACAACGTCTGACCTCATGACCTGATCGTACGTGGGAGGCAGCTGTTTGAAAGAAGCGGAGGAAGAAGAGGAACGAAGTTTCACACAAGTACTGCTTTCTCTGCCGTCGACATGAACCCAGCCGCCACCGGGCACCGACTGTGGGCATTGGCTATTCGTTCAGTATTCACCTCCTCTTCATTAGGTGCCGCCTTCTCCCGTCTTTCTAATCGTTTCTTGTCTAATCGCGTTTTCTCAGCACGGAGGCACTATCAGCTGCTGATAGCCGGTGGAGGTTCGGGCGGAGTCGGCATCGCCGCGAAATTTGGTCCAAAATTAGGCAAAGGCAAGGTGGCAGTGGTTGAACCTCACAACGTAAGTTTATTTCCTAATTCGGTGCAAAGGCACCTTTTTGACTTCGAAATTTAGAATGAGGAACAGAATCCATTAATTCATTCACAGAAAACCAACTTGACCCAGTTTACGACGTCACTAGTGACTTATTGGCGTTTGACTATGCATTGAATGCGTGTAAATATTTACATTCGTAATCGAACTGTCTGAAGCTCATTTCGTCTATTTTGCGTAAAGCAAGTCTGAAAAAGAAGTCATTTCCGACATAGGAATACATACGGACAACGACTACCATTTTTATTGTTAATGACCATTGTATTTTCCCCAATTCTATATTTCATTGGAAATTGGTGATATCCATGGCTGGGTTCTCAAACCGAAGTGTCATATACCTGGTTATCCTCTATGAATCCTGCTAAATCTCACGAAGCTTACCATTGTACCTAAGTATACTACAATGCTTTTATGCTTGTTCTTAAGAGCAGACTTCTCATAAAGATGATTTTAATTGGGGATTATGATGTTCCGAATTGCACTAGACCTACGTTCATTAATCACGTCTCACAAATGAACTGCAAAAATTTAAATTAATGTTTTGTAAATTATTTATGTGATGTGGTTCTGAAGACAGGTACAGTGTAATTCAAAACGTCAGGAAAATTACTATGACACAGCGACACGAGCAAACCCTCTAAATTTTAGTTTTAAACTCGCTTTTATGCATTGTGCTGATTTTTAGTCAGCAAGTACGGGGCAAGTGATCAAGACGAATTGCAGCCGTAAAACGTACGCTTCAGTCAGTATGCATCGTCCCCTTTGGCCGAAAATCCATAGCACCATGATGTTCCTAATGTTTAACGACCTGCTACCCGGTTTTCGGTAAATTGGCAAAGTGGGTGAATTCCTCGCTCAAGGACATTAGCATTGAATAAGAGAAAGTTATTCCTCGCGTTTGGCCGCCTGAACTCGTCCTCTAGCATGCAAAGTAAAGTACTAAGCCATTGCATCAGTCACCCTATGTTGCATCTTCACACAGCCTGGTCTGGACATAGCTTTATTGCGGTGGCCGAGCCGGACAAAGAAAACTCTCACAAGGCGAGACGATACAACATAATACAACAGGTGACAAAACGATGGGTTTATATACTCGACGATCGCCGCGTAATAAATGGCGATCTCATATGCACTAATGCCTAGAGCGCATAATTTTACCTGATTACGTGGCGATGTGTAGTCGATTAGATCACAACATGCAAATAAAGCAGTCGGTAGCATCAGTGCACAGTTGCCTCATGGCGATGACTTATGATCGTCCCTAACACCTTGACATTTGCCTCAAGCGAAATACGACGAGTTCAGTACTTCTGGATGTCTCGTAAAATCACTCTGCCTGCAAATACCACTCCAGTCGCCTCCTGTAAAAACGTCAGATTTTACGGTGCCGTTTCGTTTCCTGACCTCAGCTGGAATGCACCGTGCGATCGCTAACGACAAGGGAATGTAGGGCTTCGCTTAGCGTGAAATTCCTATGAATCCTTTGTACACCACAAGACACCATCAGAAAACCTTTTGTTTTTATTACATGTACTCAACTACCTTATGTATGGTGTCAGTGGTAATTTTTCAGGTTGTTGACATGTGATTTCGAGGTACTAAGCTGTTAAGATACAAGTTTCTAGAATTGGTGACCTCTTCCACAATGATCTGTCGCTTTTACACAGTCATCTTCGACACACATCGTTATCCTAGCGGTCTCTCATGGCACCCGCATGAGTATAATGGCAATCATGCATTGCATGACCGACAGCTGCAACGTTTGTCACGAATTTTACAATCTAGACGCAGGCATGTATGTCAACGTCTTTGTCAGAACGGGACTGTATCGAATATTTAAAACCCCCGCCTCAGCGTGTGATTTGCGAAGATTCACTGACGTAAGCGACAGTACTTGAATTTGCTGAATGCGATACAGTGTTCTTCTAGTTTGCTCTATTATCATGGCTTTGTGGCTTTTACTGGTTCACGGGCGGTTCGCTGGTTAACTGATTCGTTTTATTAGCCTCTAAGCGTGGAAGCACATCTGCTTTGTGATATGCACATTAATTTCATGTTTTTTGAACATTTTCTTTTTCTGAAATATGGAATATGTAAGAGATTACATTCTAGCTGTACATTTTTCTTCAAAAAACTTTCATTTGTTGTGATAAAAGTGACATTTCGTCTATACAATGGATTTAAATACAGTTAAGATGAATATTTTTCATCATGTATTTATCTGGTAAAATATTCTGCCCACATCATATCCATAGAGCAATTAGTTCGCACGTTGGTAGTCATGCTGAAGGTATAGCTTAAAACATGGCTTAGCTATAAATAACGCAAAAGACACTGTGGTCACTCAGGCGACACTGACGTTTTGGCCCGCTTCTCAC